ATAGCGCAGTCGCGCTCATTCATACAAATTGATCACAATAGAGCAATATTTGGGCATGATGCAATCAAGCACCACCTGAGGGGATCCTCTGAAGAGATGAGGTATCAGTGCAGCAATAAATTGCATATTTGTATCCGTAGAACTCTCGATTCGTTCCTTTGCCGTCAGTACACCGTTTTTCACTGTTTTTAAAATACGTTTCCAGTGATTTGCAAGAAACACCAAATGGACATCATCTTTGCCGGACGTCTGAAAATATGCACAGAAATCACAATTATTTGGTGGCTCAGACAGCACAGACTGTTTTTTTTTCAGCTTCTCTGATCGTGTCACATTCAGTAGCTACTACCATTTGAACAGAAGAAACTATAAATCCGTAACTTTGCGTACCAGCCCCGAGTCCGGATATATGGACAGTGTGTTATCAGAAAGGAAATGTGATGTAAAAATGGCATTGATAGATCAAATGCAATTCAGCTGCACCGATCGGAAAGCTTAATTCGTTGTAGTTGTCCTGATGGGAGGTCGTAGAAGACAAATAAAATGATTCTTTGGATATTTTGTAGGAAAGTGGAATGAATTTGACGCTGTCAGACGATATGAAACAACAGAAGTACCGTGAAGGTGCGAGATTTGCTATTCGCAGTCATATTGTAAACACGATCTTGCAGTTGCCACAATAATCTACCGATTTCATCCACAAACGTGCACCATTCAGCTGAAATATGGCTGGCGATTAGAACTGATTTTGACAGATTTTGTCTTGCCATTTGATATCTTTTGGAACATTGATTTTGGATTTCGATAAAATCGAAATCCGAAATAAAATCAAGTTTTTGGAATTGCACCGTTAAAAAAGTGCGGATTTTCAGCTGATTTATAACCGTATGGCATCTGATCTTGTGAAGAAATTAGTCAAAACGTGCTGTCATCAGTGTCATTGGTGTGATGTCAACTTACGATCATCAGGTCGCTTATCGAAACTTTTCAGTGTTATTCTTTCAATCGCACACTCTTCAACAGCGTCGAGCAACTCAAAAAATCGGTTCAGATTCGTAAATTTGCCGGCATATTTGACGTTGTTCAGCGTCACCAATAGGGAGCATGCTGGTGGTGCCATTAAAAATGTTTCAGTCACGAGCTTTCGGAATTCGTTTGCAGTTAGTAAACCTGAAAGGAAAACTGATAAACTCACTATTTCCAAAAAACCGGAATTTCTAAATTTTCTGAGAGTTTTCGATAGAAACACCTCATGAGAAGATAACGGGCGATTTGAGATTAATATTCATTACTGTCAGAAAATGAATGATTCTTCAGGGATCTCTTAAAGTATCTTCACTAATCATCGTGCATTTAATAGGGCAGAATGTTTCAAATTTAGTCAATTGTGCTTCCAGTTGTTGTCCCGAGAACGGATACTTAGCGATTTTGAACTCTCACGATCAATTTGAATGAACTTGACAGAAATTTGAGATATGACAGATTGTTATGTACCAAAAAACGAGCTATTCAACTGAAACAACAACGTATTCAGAAGATTTCGCGCAGTCAGCTCTGTCGTCGATGCCATCACCTAAAATGGATTCAATGTCAGCGAAACGAACCTGGTATTAGTCAATATAACCAAAATACGAAGAATTGGACAGAGACAATGAAAGCGCTCACAACTAAAGATAATCTAGTCCACTTTAATGATGCTCAAAATCAGATTCACAGAATTGAAATGCTGAAAAAAACCCGAAGGAAGATAAGCAAGAGATGAATNGCGAATACCTGTTGAACGTCAGTAAGTATGCTGATGACGACCGTGCGATCGTGTGTTTCGGCTGCATTTGCGATTCGAGTCTTCAATTTTTCGCATGCATCGAAATCATTCCAATTTTTCATTTCCATTTTCAAACAACTGAATTTCATATGTCGCTTACAATTAGCATTGAATTCACATTATTGTTTTATTCTGAATTTATTCACTTTTGCTCTATGCATGCCATTGTATATGTGATCAGGGAAGAGCAAATGCAGTAACGCATATAATCTGATAGGATTATCCCAGCAAATAGAAATGAAACACATACGATAAGTTTCAATAGGTTATTTTAAGTTCTTGTAGCAATGGATGGAAAAGGCGGGGAGAGCTCAAAATATAGAATGATTAGATAGATACTGCTCACAGAAAGGCTTGATCAAACTTGATCTTTGAAGTTGACTTTTAATCTACTACATCAGACGATTCACTGACTATTTTACATCTCACCACAAATCTACGACTACCTTCATAAAGCTCTAATCAGATACAATTCAAAACACTGCCTCGAGCTGGAACTGAACCTAATATTACTTTTATGGAGCTTATCGCGGTCGATAACCATTCTTATCGTTGTTATCTCATTCTCTGCACATTGTGTCACTGTGAATCGATTGATCGCGGAATTAAATATGTATATTAAGAAGAGATACAATTGCTCTTATAATCATCACCATCACCGAAGCGATAAACAAGAGGGTGATATAATACTTCGCAGATTTTATTCAAAATTTATTTCACAATTTTCACACAGCTCATAAATTAAACTTCACATATACAATACGTACGCATTTTGGCAGTTTGGCTTTTTTCTTCAAATCGCAAAACAACGAACAAAAAACAGGAAAGTTTATACAGTTCATTGCCAAATGAAATTCATGCCAATGAAACAAAAACTTCGAATAACTTAAACTGAAACAGTCAGCAGTTATAACAACAAAAACGAATGAATGAGCAAAACTTATTGATAGTTTCAAGTAAAAATACACCAGCGCGAATCAGATATGCGAGAAATATTCAACACAAAACTGCTCATATTACAGATAAATCCCCACACAAATCATCCGACTGCATCTGAACATATTCCCTGCAATTAACCTATTATTAGTGACCGTAAATAAACTTCGAACAAAACAATAGGATCACAAAACAAGAACGTATTAAATTCACTACATATGTCAAACATTGCCAGTTCCTTAGTAACTAATCTAACGCTAGGGAAGCGTGTGACTACATCAATCAATGTTTTATATTGAATCTGATATTCGGTCAGAAATCTGATGCAAAATTCATTGTATTGAAGGGCACTGTGATAGTGCTGAGCGATTTATGGATTCGAGTACATGTCCTATGAATGTTATGAATGCATTTGTCTTGTCCTCAAAATGCTATAAGAATTTGCAAGAGCTATTTACGCTTACGATATTAATTAAATAAACAGGAGAATGAAAATTCAGGTATTCGAGAGATGTGTTCGCATTGAAATATATCGCAAAAAATTGCAAACCATGATTTTAAGTTACTCATGAACACGCTAAGTTATATATTTTCATAACTTGGGATGGACTGATTCTGTACGAGCTGACCGATACATGAGGCAACATCCGTCGACAATTATGAGTTCAACTATTCTACTTGTGAGATAGATGCTATTGGACGGCGAGCGATCTGAACCTGTTTCTGAACGAACCTAATCAAGAGTCGTGTTTCCTTTTTCGATGCTTATGTGACGAGTGCGCTCGAGTTTCATTCTTTTGACTGTCTTCATTGATACAATTACTGCTACTATTCAATTCATTCACTTCGGCTAATCTCAGCAACATTTTTGCTTCAATCTGAAAAGAAATTTCAGCATATTTGTTTCAATAAGTTGAAAACACACGTAATTGAAACCACCACTGCTGAATCATAAAATTCAGATGATAAATTGAGTGAAATTTTGAAAATACCAAAAATTGATAACGTGATACTGTTTAAAAAAAACAACATCAATCGCAAACCCGTTCACGAAGTCTCCTTTCTTGCTCCTGCAATAGAGTTTGGCGCAGCTTCGCTTCAAGCTTGACCTGGTCACCACCATCAGCACCGTTCTCTTGA